GGGATCTACTCAGATATGTTATTTCAGAAGTCAAAACCAGCACTTGTTAGTTCTGGATGCTTACAGGGAGATTTCTATCTTAACTTGGGGAAAACTGAAATATGCCTCTGCTGCTAATTATGCATATGAAGAGAGCTGAAATAGGACCCAGACAGGCTGTTCCCATTGTACACCTTCAGCCCAAATCTGCCTGGCCTGTGTGCATGTGCTCCCAAAGCATGTGGCCAGCACAGCAGCGTTTGCCTGTGCTTTGGTGTTCAGAGGTGCATCTCATGCTGCCAAAAATCCTCCTTGCTCAGCCAACCATCCAGCCAGCAGGAGATGTGTGGTTTTCTGAGTGCTGTCGAAAGACATCCAAGATGGGATCCCTGGCCATCCACTTAGCAGGTCTTGCCGAGGCTCAGGGTATCACTCAAAGGGGAAGCTTTGACTCTTTGCAGTCCAAAGCAAGATAAAGATGAGGCCACAAGGCATTATCTGTATTTCTCTGTGGAAGCAATGTTCCTGCTTGAGAGAGGCAGTTGGCAGCTGTGCACCAAAAGGGATCTGGCAGTGACGTTCCCTTTTAAATGTCTGGCTATCAGCTTTAAGCAATGAGCTTTACATACAGCCTGGAACGTTGTTACTGTCTAAATGAAACAGATTTTTTTAGAGCACAGGCGTCATATTTTCAGCTGTGCATGGACAAGGAGCCACCTACAGAGGGTGCATGGTGATGGTGGGGCTGAAGAACAGCATGTCCTCGGAGCAGCCTGCATGCCCAGGGTCCCTGTGGGCAGGGCAGATATGGGTGTCCCATTTGGAAGAAGGGGCTGATTGATGCTGAGGGCAGTGCAGGGAGTTGGCACCAGGCCCTGCTGTCACCAGCTGTCCTGTGAGAGGAGGAGGAGGGCAGCCTCAAGGACCAGACAGAATCCTTTTTTTTATGCTACTCTCAGAGGCAGAGCAGGTCCAGCATCCAACCTTCACCTCTGGCCTTAATCTGCAGCATGTGCTGAGGACATCCCATGGCAGTGCCACTCCAGAAGGCAGAAGTGCCACCGGCAGTGATGAGTCACAGCCTGTCTGTAGAGGGGGTAGCTCCTGTTCGTGTTGGCAAACCCGGCTGCCAGTGGCAGTGGGCCCAGGGAGCACGGGAGGGTGGGGCTGGAAGGGCCCCTGTGCTGAGGAAGAGATCAATGGGAGTTTTGACATCGCAGGGTGACAGTTTCTGCCAAGAGCCTTCCACAATAAAACCAGCAAATGAATCCACCCTCCGCTGAGTAACTCCGGATGAGGACTGCTGGCCTAGTAAATCTGATCAACAGTTTGCTGCTCCTTTAGAGGTGGCTTAAGGAAAAATACCCAAATAAAATTATACTTTTCTGTACACCAGAGAATCCTGTTTCCATCCTCAATTAAAAGGTGTCACAGCACACAATCGGTCAACACAAGGCACAGAAGAGGAGGGCAGGAAAAAGGACAAAGAAACTATAATTTACACAAAACCCAACAACAGTTAAGCCAGTTCTAGATTAAGAACCCTAACCAGGACCTTGGGTACCCTAGGAGGGCTTTTCAGGACTGAGGCTGGTCACACACTGATGTCTCCACTGCTGGGAGCAGACCCAGGATGTTGCTTTGTGCCATCAGGGCTCAGGTTTGTCCATCTAAGATCCAGAGAAGTTCATCCCAGTTCCCCATGCAGCAGACTCATTCATTCCAGCATCTTGATCATAAAGGGGGAGTTTGGGGTAGTTAATAGGGTTGCTTCTAAGGCTTGATCTCTTTTGGGAAGACCTTTATCACATCAGTATCTGACATAGCTGGTAAGTCGTAAAATCAGCTTTCATAATGGATTTGTTCATAGAAGTGGAGAATGGAGATTTCTTTATTGCTTATATTAAAGAAAAAATGCACAGTGCTTTATACACAAGGAGGAACAGAAAAACTGGGCACAGAGACCTTGATAGAGACCCCAGTTCACAACTGGCACTAACTGGTGGTGTTTTGGAGTGTCCAGTCAGATCCACTGAGGTCACTGGAGTTAAATTAACTTAAAACAGGCAAGTAAACAGCCCTCAATGAAACCCAGGAGACAGTGAATGCATTAGTCAGAGCTTGGCTGTCCATGCTGGGACAATCAGGGTCCCTGCTGTCCCTGAGCCAACGTGGGGCACCCTGTATAGTGGTTTCCCTCCTGGATGTGCTCCTCAGGCTGGCTAACAGCATCTCTGGGATGTCCTGACAGGAACAGGGCACCTGTCAAGGGTTGTTTGGACCCCTCACTGCTTCTCTTGTCTTCTGGAGCTGTCTGCCCACATTCACAGGGAGATTTATGGCAATGTTTTCCTCTGTCCTGGCTGAGCTCAAGTGGCCAAGATCCAGGAACATGATCCCTCAGAGCTGAAAGCAGAAAGCTGCAATGGGACTTACCTGTCACTGGAGAATATTCCTGTGGGTGGAGAAGGACATAGCAAAGCAGAAGGCTGCTCTGCCTGTCTGATGCAAACCAGTATCTGATTTTTCAGAGCCCCACTCTGCTCCTCCACAGCTGAAATGTGCCTCTGGGCAAGGGATCCCTGGTCAGGGACAGTTAAAAATAAGATAGTGCTGTTTTTTCCTGTTTGGAACAGAGTTCTACCTATGGTGGCCCACATTAGTGTGTCTCTCACTCACCAAAGCTAGCAAGGACATGGCTGTCTGGCACCAGGAGAGGAGATGGAGACTGTAAGATTCACCTCTGGCCCAGAAGGTAAGGGGGTAAAATGGCCATAAAAGATTAAAGCTGGCCGGGAAAAATCACATCCATGGCTACTCTGTGGCAATGCAATGGATTGAGGGAAAACTCCCTGCATGGGCAGTGGCTGTTGAGGTCAACAAGGCAGCTTCCCCAGCACCCTGAATACCTGCACTCGTCAAGACCCACATAGAGCTGGTTTCAAAGCTTATCTGTAGTCAGTTTTACAATATAAAGTGTCTTTGTTTAGTTAACAGAACCACTAATACATGTGATTTTGTTGTTAATAGAGCTGCAAGAATTTTAAGTACCTCTTGGGAATGTGTCATTTTTGGTTGGCTTTTTTAGGCATCACAGGGTGCTGAGTTTGTAAACAAGTGCTGAATAAAACATTTAGCACACAGCCACACTTTGTACAAGTGTCATGCAGGTTTCTAAAGTTTCAGAGTGAATAAATCAACTGCAAACTGCTGCCTGGCGGTTGACTTGCTCCTTATAAATAGCTAATTTGGACAACTTTGCTCTGCACGTCCCATGAAATTCAAATACTGTGCATATGGTTAATGCAGGCACACAAATCAGAGCTACAACAGCCCCTTTTATAAACCTGGGCTGCTACAGAAATGCCACAGCCCGGGGCAGGTTGACTCCAGGTTGCCCTCCCTTTCTGCTGGAGGTGATCCTGGGAAACACCAGCAGGTCACTATGCTCTGCTGCCTGGCCCCTTGGGAGCAGCAGGAGCCCCATGGTGACCCAGTTCATTGCTGGTTGTACTGGTTGGCAGCCATCATTGCTCAGGGGAGAATTAGGTCCAAACTCAGCCATGAAAAACAACGCTGGATTTATAAACCCAATGAAAAAAAGTAAGGGCTAACTCTGACTGGCTTTGCAGCTCTCAGCACTGGACATGGGGTGGATGCACAACCTTTCCTCCTACCGAGGCACAGCACTGCTGGTCCAGACCTGCAGAACCTCCACGTGGGATGCAAACTTACCTGATTCTCCCAGGAGGCTCTTAGCAACACACAGGATCCACCCAAGCTAACCCAAAACTCAGCCCAGAGGCACTAATCCTGGAAGATGCTGAGCAACTCAGACTTCTGCCACTTATCTCAGGATTTTGGCACATGTTCAGCATGAGCAGGATCAGCCCCTTGCTGTAATAATCAGGGAATGAGGAACTCAGCTTGACTGAGTTTCTCTCCCACCCCCCAATGCAAAAATGCTGTACATTCCTTTATGCAGGTTTCCATAGAGTCGAACTTCTATTTTTTGTTGTTGCTGTTAAAGGGGTCAGCAATCCACTGTACAATGGGATCTGGCTGTCAGGAAATGTGGAGGAATTCAGGGACACTTTTAACATCTTCCTGGTGGGACTGGAAGGCAGCATTAAACTTAGCATCATGGAAATCTCCCAACCAAAGAGAAGAAAAAGCCTGGAGAAGCCCCGGGAGAAGTTACGAAGACATTCTGCTTTGTTGATCCTAAGTTTAAATAAGTTATTTCTTCCCTACTTCCTTTGTTAAAATATGATATTCTGGCTTTAATTGCTTCAATCCTATTATTTGTTTCTTTTAGCAAGTGATTGTGTAGCCCCTTGCTGTGGGGAAATCCCCTGACTGTGGTCCGTGTTAGTTAGACAAGTCCCCTTTCAGAAGTAAATGCCATTCTTAGCATAGGGAAGTACTTTAGGTCTAAAGGGGTTAAGAAGGCCTCCCTGCATTCAGAAACATGCAGGGGTCCCACCATGCCAGTTCCAGCCTTTTGAACTCTTTCCAGCTTTTTTTTCTTGCAACAAATCTGTCTGACTGCCACCAGGACATAGGAAGCGTGTGCCTGTCAAAGAAATCAAGTTTACTTTTTCTGACTTGTTAACAGAGGCAGGGTATAAATAGAGCTAACTCTGCTCGCACAAGTAGCGTTTCTCTTAAAATAAGGGGGTGACTTCCTAGGACCTTTAATCCAATGAGGTCCAGACCAAACTGCACTGTCGACAGAGGCAGCAGAGGAGCTTGCTGAAGTTTTTACCAAAGTCAGGTGCATCTGGGTTCCTCAAAAACTTAAGGCTTACCAAAAAAAAAACCCCAAAAAGCTACCCAAGCAAACAAGAACTGCTTCCAACTTGGACACTGCCACTGCCCTGCAGAAATTCTGAGATGTTGTTGGTGCTGTTCACTCGGTGGATGTGGATCTTGCTAGGGAAGAGCAGTGTCCTCTTGCTTCTGGAGGTCTCTCTGAAAGGGAGAGCCCTGCCTCCAATCCGGTACTCCCACGCTGGGATATGCCCCAATGACATGAACCCCAACCTGTGGGTCGACGCGCAGAGCACTTGCAAGAGGGAGTGCGACGCTGACCTGGTGAGTGATGCACATTTTTGTGTCTCTGCGTCACGGGTGCTGCTGGGGCTCTCGGGGTGTTTGGTGGGAGCCTTCTGTCCCAGCTGCAAGGGCACTGGGCAGGACCCAGTGCAGACAGTGCGTGTATTGAATTTACCCGTGACCTATATAACATAGAAAAGGTGTGATGGGTTATCAGTTAAAGGGGAGGTGTGTGCCAGCTGCCACTTTTGCTTGTGTGGGTATAACGCTCACTCTCTTTGATCCTTTTCCTTGTTTTCATGTCAAAAGAAATATCTGAATTTGATACTCCAGAACTCAGCATGCCCTGGGGCCAATTGCAGTATTTTCACAGTGTTATGCTCTTTGTTGTCGGTGGCCATCATCAATGTTTTACATTCCTGGGAGGAATCCTGTATGAAATAGTTTAATTTAACATGTAAATCATCAGCCTTTGATGCATCTGAAGTGCAAAGCTTGCTTGGGGTGCAGAACAGGGCATGGCTAAAATGACCAGGCAGATGTTCTGTGGGATGCTCCCAGCTCAAAATGTGTTTAGCTTACCACCCTAAAATTCATTTTTCAACCTGTCAGCACTGTCAGCTCAAGCTGGCATCTGAAAATACCTGCTTGTCTTACTTCTTACATCATGTCCCATGACAAAGCTTCTGCAGCCCAAACCTGGCTGACAGAACATTTACTGTGCTGAAAAAAAAGTGTTTGGGTTTGTGCTCTGTAGCCAGGCTGTTTCTGCAATGTTAAAAAGGGGGAAAAAACTGACAAAAATTCTGGCCATAAGTAAACAAAGACATTTACTCAGATGGATCCCATGTGTTAGGAATGAAGGTGCTCTTTTTACTTATGCCATTCCCAAATAAGCTGCCTCTGTTCCAACTACCAGGTGCAGCAATGAACACTGAAACACTTTCAAAACCCCGGCAGCAGCAACGGTAGCAGACGATGATGTTTTAATAATTTAATGGTCAAAACCTGAAAGCCAGGAGCTACTGGTTACAAATATTCATTTTGCCTAGTGGCAGCACAGAGTCCTGGGACTTTGGATGGAGTGAATGTACTGCAGGCAGCCAAGGACTCTGCCAAGCCACACTCCTTAACCCCAGCTGAAAACCTCCACAATCCTGGTTTCCATCTTTGCTTTTGAAACCTAGTAATGTGCAGCTGGAAATGGAGAATGAGTTTTGATATTAGGTCATCTTTTTCCCAGTAAGGAAAGGATACTGGACTCAGGAGAAGCTCTTTAGCTTGGTAGCTTAAAAACCATTTTGTTCTCAATTATGGAGAAAGCTAATAGATTTTAGGGGGCTTTTAGAGGTTTAACACGCAGTGGAAGTGTGCCCTGTTGGGCACATGGTAGCAGTTTTCCTGGTCCCTTGAAGTAATCTATAACAACCCAGCAACCCTGATCACACGTATCAAATACCTTTTCTGCACAGAAGATGAAAATTCTGCTAAAATTAACCACAATTTAGAGCTGTCTGTAGCCAAGGCGGGGCGTAATAAATCACTAGAAGAGCGATGCTGAATTTGAAAATAAGACTAAAATAGGACAGAGAAGCCATAATGAGCTGTTTGGGGTTTGTTTTTCTAAATACCATAGAAAAATTATTTTTGGAGCAAGTATTACCTTACTTTTGAGATATTCTATTATTTCCTCTACAATGTGAACAATTACAAATCCTTGGCAGTTTCACCTCCAAGAGCTGGCTGTTAGTCTCAGGGAATTCAAATAATACTTTACATACTTCAGTGGAAAATAAGAAGGATTACTGCCTACAGCCATATGATAAGACTTTCCATCTGCTCTTGTTTCTCAGGGCTTGTCCTCAGGCATTTCAGAGAGCATGGAAGGGGGGTGGTTGGTTCATAGTCAAGCAATCCATGTGACCCTGGGGTAAAGACTTATGAGGAGGTTTGTGTTTAACAAACAGAAATACATTTTCCTTCTCAAGAGTCTTCTTCAGCACTTCAGAAACCCCTGGGAAATGCTTAGGGGATGTTTCTACTCACTGACAGCTGGGGCACTGAGTTTCAGACCATGGATATCTGTGGCAGAGCTGAGTTTCTGGGCTCTCTGCTTGCTGAGTCTCCAAAAAGGCCTTGATTCTGTTCCCAGTAATGATCAGGTTATTTTCCTTCCCCGCAGGAGTGCGAGACCTTTGAGAAGTGCTGCCCCAATGTCTGTGGAACCAAGAGCTGTGTGGCTGCTCGGTACATGGACATCAAGGGGAAAAAGGGGCCTGTGGGGATGCCCAAAGAGGCAACCTGTGACCGCTTCATGTGCATCCAGCAAGGCTCAGAGTGCGACATCTGGGACGGGCAGCCCGTCTGCAAGTGCAAGGACAGATGTGAGAAGGAGCCGAGCTTTACCTGTGCCTCTGACGGGCTCACCTACTACAACAAGTGCTACATGGATGCAGAGGCCTGCATCAAAGGCATTACACTGAACGTGGTCACCTGTAGGTACCATCTCACCTGGCCAAACACCAGCCCTATCCCCCCAGAAACAACAGCTCGCCCTACCACCGCCTACTCCGAGACAACAGTCGTTGATATCCTGCCACCTGCACTGGTGAACAACCCCGTCCATCAGTCCGTCTACGTGGGAGAGACCGTCAGCTTCCTCTGCGATGTTTCAGGAAGACCCAAGCCAGAAATCACATGGGAGAAGCAGGTCGATGGGAAGGACAAAGTCATCATGAAGCCAAACCACGTCAGAGGGAACGTCGTGGTCACCAACATCGCCCAGCTGGTCATCTACAACACGCAGCTGCAGGATGCTGGAATCTACACCTGCACTGCCCAGAACAGTGGTGGCCTCCTCCGGGCGGATTTCCCTCTGTCAGTCATCAGAGGAGAGCCCACATCCAAGGAAGCTTCCCAGAACAAAACACATTTTCCAACCGACGAGTGCCTGAAGCAGCCGGACAGTGAAGACTGTGGGGAAGAGCAGACCAGGTGGTACTATGATGCCAAGAAAAACAACTGCTTTACTTTCATCTATGGGAACTGTAACAGCAACCTCAACCACTTTGAGACCTACGAGAGTTGCATGCTAACGTGCATGAACGGCCCCATCAACATCTGCAACCTGCCTGCCCTTCAAGGCCACTGCAAGGCCTATGAGCCCAGGTGGGCCTACAATAGCTTGACAAAGCAGTGCCAGTCCTTTATCTACGGTGGGTGTGGAGGCAATGAGAATAACTTTGAGAGCCGGGAGGCCTGCGAGGAGATGTGCCCTTTCCCAAAGAACACACACTGCAAGGCCTGCAAACCCCGCCAGAAGCTGGTGACCAGCTTCTGCAAAAGTGACTTTGTCATCCTGGGCCGCATCACAGAGCTGACCGAAGACCAAGACTCAGGACATGCCCTGGTGACGGTGGAGGAGATTCTCAAGGATGAAAAGATGGGATTAAAGTTCCTGGGGAAGGAACCACTAGAAATCACGCTTTTGAACATGGACTGGAGCTGCCCGTGTCCCAACATGACCACAGTGGATGGCCAGCTCATCATCATGGGGGATGTCCACAATGGCATGGCCATCCTACAGCCAGACAGCTTTGTGGGCACCTCCAGCGTCCGGCGTGTGCGCAAGCTCCGCGAAGTCATCCACAAGAAAACCTGTGAGCTTTTGAAAGAGTTCCTGGGATTGCATTAACCTCCCTCACGTGTGTGAGCTGCCCTGATCCGTGTGTTAGTAGGGCTAACAAGTGCTAGGCTAGTGCCAAACTAAACACACTCTTTGAAGATACACTGTAGGAATTATGTGGAACCCCTATTTTAATCCATTAATGATGCTTAGCAACAACATAGTTTGGTCTTTGGCAGGCATGTAAACCAGCAGCAAAAGGCCATTAATCTTGCATTGAAATCAATTTCTCCATATAGGAGTGCCATTTAACTAGTTGACTCACTTCAGTAATTATAAAATTTTTATCTAGCTTCCATCATAAATGACAGAATTCATAGCATTTGTTGGGCTACACAGCTAAGAAATATATAATGTCAATTTAATCTGTCTCAGTTTCAGTCTGATTCGTTGTTTTAAGTCACACGCTTGGCTTCTTACAGCAGGACTAATATTTCAAGAGAAAAGCCTGTAAATTATTGTGTCTATTTACAATTGTGCACATTTAACCAACTTAAGCATGAATTTTCTTCTTTTAATTGCAATTTGACTTTTTTTTTTTCCTTTTAAAAACCTCCTTTTTAAATGACAGCTACTACCTATCTTGCAATCCTTACTGAAGGACAAACTCCCTTGATCCTATGTCCAGGACAACAGGTCCCTGTAAAAGCTCAAGGCACAGTCTTACCCTGAAATGACATTTCTGTCACCAGAACAAGGTCAGCAAACATCCTTGTTCCCTATTTAAGTTTCAATCAATATATTGTCTATCACAAGCCAGGTCAGAAGTGTGCTGCCAGCTCTCTTGCTTTTGAAAAGCCTTTACACTTGTGCATACACAGCGATTTATTGCTTATTTTCAGTAGCAATCCTGCTTTTATAGATGAGAGGGCAAAGTAAGAGGAGTCAGAACAAAATTCAACCTAGGAAAGTGAGAACACAGTCTGCAAACTGCATTAGGCAGATACAAAGCTCCTGAATCTGAACTGCACAAACACAAGCAGACAAAATAGACAATTTAAAGGCTTTTATCAGTGTCACCATTTTAGAGCCTTTTTATAGTCTTTCAAAGCTCAGAATACTCTTTCCTTCCACCAGGCCACTGTATACAGGTGTATGAATGAATTCCCTAAGGCAGCCAGCATGGGCTGTGGGTGGGAGCAGGTGAGTACGCATAGGATCAATCATTTTAACATTTGTTTGTCCAAAAAATGTAACATTTGCCTATACAAAATCCTTAAATAAAGAAAAGGCTGATCATGGACACATCCTGCCTTGCTGAGGACTGTGATTGCAGGGAAGAGGGGCGAACGTAGCATAGTGAGCCTTGTCCCTGCTCCTTGTTTTGTGGGCTCAGCCAAGTGACTGTAGCAGGGCTTAGAGCTTGCTGCCCTACACAAAGGGCCAGTTCAGGGCTGTAGAAGTGTCAAGACATGTCTGGGTGAGAAGAAGGAAGGGAGGAAAAGAAGCAGGAAGGTGCAGCCAGTGCTGCCCCATGGTGCCATCTAACGGGCTCGCTGCAGGGCAGCCGAGGCTGGCAGTGGGTTGACGTGCTGCAGGCCTGTGATGGGGCTAGGTATGGCAAGGGCTGGGGAAGGAGATTAAACAAGCAGATGTTGGACTTCTGCACCCCCTCAAGCCTGAACATGCTGAGTGTTTGGTTGTTGCAGGGAGGAAAACTCACAGCGAGAGAAGCAGTGTCGGATGTGAGCCCAGCTCTGCTCCCCCTAATTCCACGCTCTGCACCAGCAGCCAAGCCATGGGTAGAGACCACTGCAGGATGGAGAACTGGGCTCCTCTCCCAGTGGTTTGGGCTTGGTTTATTTCTGAAATGTTCCTGCAACAGGAGTTGATCTAAATATCCAGTTATTTGGGTAATTTCACAAGAAGCTGCGTGGGAGGGAGAGAGAGGAGTCTGGACCAGGCTTTGCTGACCAAGAAAATACCTGCTGGGTTTTTGTTGTACCTTTCCTAAGTGTATGTGAAAAAAAAAAACTCCAATTAAAGGCCCGTAATGTTTGTGTATGTTCTTGTGGAGACCATTTTCTGCAGATGGGAGATGCTAGCCCTGCTGCCCTCTGAAGCAGCCAGCATGTCCACCAGATCATCCCTGGCTGTGGCAGCCACCACTGACCCATGCCTCATCTGCCATTTTTTGAGATGCCTGAAGGAAGTGGCATGTTCTTGCCATACTGACACAAAGGTTTTGGAGGATGAAAGTTTAATAAAGACAGGGTTTGTATGGCTTCTTTTTTTCCTAAAATTAGAGGATTTTGTAAGTGTGGGAGTGTTGAAGTGGCTCGGGAGTGTTGGAGTGACTTGGGAGACACGGAGCTGGTTGTTCAGAAAGCTGAAATGCAAACATAGCTGGGAGCAGAAAGCAGAGGATTCATTGCTGTTCTAGCCAGCACAGTGCATTGCTGAAGACTTGGCTCAAAAGTGCTTTATTGGCTTTCCTTCCTGGTGAATCCGCTGGGAAGGCATCAGGCACTTAAAAGATGCAGCATGCAAGTGCTCTGAGGCACTGAGAGCCAGGGCTGTGCAAGGTGTAAGGTGCCTGACAGCCCCCTTGGGACACACAGGCCTGGTGTGCGAGGGTTTTCCTGCACAGGGGGTCCTGGGGGACACTCTGGGTCAGTTTTCCAATGTGGTGGGGTGAGATGGACACTGAACAGACCAGCCCAACTCCCTAACACAGCCCAGCCACCCTCGTGTATCTCCTGCCCAAACCTGCAGACATGATCATGTGAGCCCCTCGGGGTGCCCCTGGCTGTGCCCCACTGCACAGAACCATCACAGCTACCCTGAGGCACAAGGAGCAGTGCCACAGGCATCCCTCACCTGCTCAACAGGAAAAAAAACCCGTTCCTGGCAGTGCTGGGAGCACCACACCTCCCCGTGGCATGGGACTGACCCCAACCCCAAGCCTCTCCACCTTCTGACCTTGAAGAATTCAGCTCTCCATTCAAAGCTAGTATTTTAGTTCAGCCTCTTATTAAACCCTTAAGAAGCCTAAAATTCAAGCCTGACCAGTCCAGCAGCCCGGGGATGCTCCTGCATGGGGCCAGTGCAAGGATGTTGCTCCACCTTTCAGGACTAATGGGCACGTGCATGTGGCTCCTCACCAGGAAGTCCCTTTTGTGTTGCTCATGAGCTCAGGTTCCATCTTGCTCTGTGGGATCTTTCCTCAGGCTGTCAGAAAGCTGGAAGGAAATGCCAGTATTTGGTTTATATAAAGTGTATGAGAGGAGAGAGGAAGGGAAAAGCTTCCTTGAGCTTGTGGGCTCAGAAGGTGCACCAGCGCCTGTGTGAGGCTCCAAGGAAGATCTGGGGCATCGATGCCTCCCCCAAAGCCACATGACTAAGGCCAATGACCTGATGTCAAAGCTTTCCTGCACATGCAGACAGGAGGAAAACAGCATTCCCCACAGACACTGGCTCAGGAAGCAACACAGAATCATAGACTCATTAAGGTTGGAAAATACCTCCTAAGATCGAGTCCAACCAAGAAACTGGGAACAGACCTGCACTGGCTGGGTCTGAGACCTGCAGAAGTTCCCCAGGGCTCAGGGATGGATCTGATGGATACTTGACAGCCCTGAACCAGCATGAGGTGCCCACCTCCCTCACTCCCAACCTGGAGTGAGGATGAGAACTGCAACCGCCGAATCTGCAAACCCTGCAGCTGGACGAACACCATCCAGCACCTGGATCCCAACAGGAGTCACGGGTCACTCACTCTGTTAACAGGGGACAAACAGCAGCAGCAGCAAAGTGATGGTGTGTGGCTTCTGCACACAGATTGTACGTGGGGCTGGTGCCACACAGGGCTGGTGTCACGTAGCTGGCAGGGCACAAGGAGCTGCACGCACGGAGAGCTGGCTGAGTGATTACTCAGAGACAGATACTGCATCACACAACGCCCAGAGCTGCTGAGCTCAAAGGAAAGAGGCAATTGAGCATGTTCTCATTGCAGGGGCTCCAGATGAGGTCAGGCAGAAGATTTTTTGGGCAACCAGTTCCAGAATGAGGAGCAAACAGCAGTTATGACGCCACTGGAATATGATTCAGACAGCAAAGGTATTTAAGAGCTCAGTTTCCACTTGTTTTAAAAGAAATTAGGAACACCTGCAAGAATTCCCCCCTGGCCATGGGTCTCAGTTCCTGAGGGAGGTGGTTGTGATGAAGGTCATACATGGCTTCAGCCAATACCTAATGATTTCCTGAAAAAAGGAGGATGAATTCAGCTGGCACCAAATGAGCACCTTGCACCACAGGACCCACTTCCTCCACCTGAAGCACCTTGTGCCCCAGTTGGCTGTAATTTGTGCGTGTGCATGTGCTGGGAAATTCTCCCTGTGAAAAGATCATGGCCAGGCTGGTACCTCCAATGAGGCTGGATGGAGCCAGATTTTAAAGGCTGTGAAAATGTCAGCCAGAGCAAGAACATCCAGTTTAAAACCTGTTTTAATACCAAGTATTTAGTGTTTTCCTCTCTGCCTCTCTGGTTACTGATTGACTACGAGTGACCTCCAGCTGCTGTATTGATTTACAGCAGCTGTCAAAGGGCAAAAAATTAGCCCCATGCCCAAGACCTGAGAACCTCTGAATGGAGGTTGCACAACTGAATTAATGTTCTGCCAGCGCTTTAAATCTTGGAAAGAAAAAGTCAGCTTAAGGTCCTGATCTCCAATACAAACAGCAGTGGGATTTGAAGATAAGGTTGCAGCACTAGATAACATATCTATTAGCCAAAAAGCAGCACAGTCTGTTTAATTCTCAGCTATTTATGGCTGGGCAAATGATATGACTTTTAGGCCTGAGAGTTTAGAAAGCAAATGGAAAGTCTTCCAAGGGCTGATAGGTGGGTCAGGTTTCAGTGAGGAAACTCTCTAACTCGGGTATTTTTCTCCGTGCCCATCCCTACATGCTCCTTTCTTCCCACCAGCTGTCCCTGGTGCTGGCCCAGCCAAAAGGTTTTGGGGGGGGTCTCCTCCAAACCTCTGGCTTATTGGTGGACACAGACCTGCATGTGCCAGGGACCAGCTGTGACAAAGGCAATGAGAATTGACTGTCTATGTTTCAGAATTATAAGGGCACTTTGGGGTGGGGACAAGCCTCCCCTGGTACTGTCCCCTGGGGCAGGAGACTGGTGATCATAGGATGGAAAGGGCCATGGGGCAATTACTCACCCCTCTCATGTGTCCCAGGTATGCAGGAGGGAAGGAGAAGGCTGGGCACAAGAGAAAGAGGGAAAGATTCCTCCAGAGGAGGGAGGGGGGAACATTGTAAGACCTTAAACTGGTTTTACAATGTGATAGTTGGTCTGGATTACCTGGCATTAAAAGAACGACTATGAAGGGCTTTGTACCTTCTCTTTCTCCTTTGCTCTGCTCCTCACTCCTCTGAACCAAGGGGGGACTGTAACACGTGTAAAGGACATTGCTTCCTCTACTGCTTGAAATAAACAGGAAAACAACAGTAATAAATCTCCAGGATCAGATGGT